CCTTCCGATGGGTCAGCTTTCCTGAATCTCACACATATGTAATAGAGGGGCCTGGAAGGAGCCCAAAGGAGAGAGGCCGGGAAGCTTGGATCAATGTCCTAGGCAACAAAGCAGCGTGCTTGTAAGAATCAAGAGACAAAACCAGCCACAGCCAGAGGATCTAGAAGGTCCCATTCAGATATGTGGGAAGAAAACTTTAATTGTACAATGGGGCACTGGCCCTCTACGAGAGATGTCACTGAGGAGCCAGGCACTCTCCTTCTAACTTGAGACACATTCTGTCCCATCTTGGTTGGGCTCTGTACCTCGCTGTAAATTTATGAACTTGAAGCAGCTTAATAAATGGAGTGAAAGTATAGATAGCAATAATACCTACCTGAAACTACGTACCTTGGAGCTTTTCATTTAAATCACTTCTGTATATATACATATATATATTTGTAAAATGCTGTTTTTTTAAAGTAAATATTCTGTAACAATGTAGGTTATAACTTTGAGAAATGAAAAAAATGATAGTACAATATTACACATTGGCCTATCAAAAGCTATTAGAAACCTATATGGGACACCTGGCTGGCTCAGTCAGTGGAGCATGTGACTCTTGATCTCGGGGTTGTGAGTTCAAACCCCACATTGGGTGGAGAGATTATATAAAAATAAAATCCTTAAAAAAAAAGAAAAAATATATATAAGCTGCCATGGAAATATGTTAAAAATACATGATTTAGTACTAAAAAGCAAGTTACAAAATTCCCATTTTTGTTTTAAAGAAATACATATATATATGTATTTTATACATATATATACATATATATATAAATACATATATATATATATTCAAATTTTCCGTGTTGTTAACAACTAAGGGAAGGGAGGTAGTTTTTTGTGGGCGGTAAATATGGGGAAATGTGGACCTGGGAAGGAATAGTGAGAGACAAAAGGTCTGGATGGCATTTGAGTCCCTGGATTGTTGCTATTTGCTTACTTGCCCTTTCTGAAGTTTGTTATACGAGTCAATAGATCATCCATGTTGCCCAAGCTAGTTAAGAGTCAAGCATCAAGGGGTGCTTGGCTGGCTCAGTCAGAGGAGCATGCAACTCTTGATCTCAGGGTCGTGAGTTCAAGCCCCTTGTTGGGTATAGAGATTACATAATAAACTTAAAAAAAAAAAGTTAGGCATCACCCAACCCAAGTGTCCATCAGTGAATGAATGTATAAGCAACATATTATACACACACACACACACACACACACGTATGTATATATGTACATACACATACACACAGTGGAATATTATTCAGCCTTAAAAAGGAAGCAAATTCTGATACGTGGTACATGGATGAACTCTTAGGACATTATCCTAAGTGAAATAAGCCAGTCATGGGGCGCCTGGTTGGCTTAGTCGGTTAAGCATCTGCCTTCAGCTCAGGTCATGATCCCAGGGTCCTGGGATCAAGTCCCACATCGGGCTCTCTGCTTAGCCGGGGGCCTGCTTCTCCCTCTCCCACTGTCCCTCCTCCCACCTATGTGCTCTCTCTCCCAAATAAGAAAGAAGCCAGTCACAAAAGGACAAATGCTACATGATTTCACTTATATGAGGTATCTAGTGTAGTTAAGATTCCAATAACAGAAAGTAGAATGGAGGCAGCTGACAGACACATGAGAAGATGCTCATCAGCACCCACCATCAGGGAAATGCAAATCAAGACCACAATGAGATAGCACCTCACCCTTGTCAAAACGGCTAAAATCAAAAACATAAGAGACAGCAAGTGTTGCCAAGAAAAAGGAACCCTCATGCACTGTTGGTGAGAATGCAAATTGGTGCCATCTCTTTGGAAAGCAGCATGGAGGTTCCTCAAAAAATTAAAAATAGAGTTACCGTATGATCCAGTAATTCCACGACTGGGTATTTACCCAAACAATATGGAAACACTAATTTGAAAAGATACACACACCCCTATGTTATTGCCACATTATTTACAACAGCCAAGATATGGAAGCAACCTGAGTGTCCATCCATAGATGAACGGACAAAGAAGATGTGGTGGGGTGCCTGGGTGGCTCAGTCATTAAGCGTCTGCCTTCAGCTCAGGTCATGATCCCATGGTCCTGGGATCGAGCCCCGCATCGGGCTCCCTGCTCAGTGGGAGCCTGCTTCTCCCTCTGCCTCTCTCTCTCTCTCTGTCTCTCATGAATAAATAAGTATTTTTAATAATAAAAAAATGGTTAAGATGGTATATTTTTAAAAAAATATTTTATTTGTCAGAGAGAGAGAGAGCACAAGCAGGTAGAGCTGCAGGCAGAGGGAGAAGGATTATGACCCAAGCCTAAGTCAGACCCTTAACAGACTGAGCCACCCAGGTGCCCCAAGACGTCATATTTTATAGCATGTATATTTTGATATAATTTAAAAAAAAAAGATTTGGGCTTCACATTGCAACTGACTAGTGCACTTACATTAGCTAAAGTAAATAGTTGAAACAAAATAGCTTATTTCTCTCTATTTTTTTTAAGTTTTTATTTATTTGAGAGAGAGAGAATGAGAGACAGAGAGCACGAGAGGGAAGAGGGTTGGAGGGAGAAGCAGACTCCCTGCTGAGCAGGGAGTCCGATGTGGGACTCGATCTCAGCACTCCAGGATCATGACCTGAGCCGAAGGCAGTCGCTTAACCAACTGAGCCACCCAGGCGCCCTCTCTCTATTTTTTTAAGATTTTATTTATTTGTCAGAGAGAGAGAAAGAGCACAAGCAGGGGGAGCAGCAAGCAGAGCAGGCAGAGGGAGAAGCTGGAACCCTGCTGAGCAAGGAGCCTAATGCGGGACTCGATCCCAGGACTCTGGGATCGTGACCTGAGCCGATGGCAGACGCCCAACCGACTGAGCCACCCAGGTGTCCCAAGAAGCTTATTTCTCTCTCCCTCAACAGACTGGGGAAGATGTTCCCAGTTAGTGGGAGGGTGAAGAGAGATAGCTTCTACTCGAAGTCATTATTTAGTGACCCAAATTTTTTTTAAAAATATTTTATTTATTTGAGAGAGAGGGTGGGGGGAGCAGAGGGAGAGAGAGGAGCAGACTCCCCACCGAGCAGGGAGCAAGGTGCGGGGCTCAACCCCAGGACCCTGGGATCATGACCTGAGCTGAAGGCACATGTCTAACTGACTGACCCACCCAGGTGCCCCAGATATTTTTTTAAAGATTTTTATTATTTATTTATTTGAGAGAGAGAGAGTGAGCAAGCAAGAGAGAGAGCACAAGTGGGAGAAGGGGCAGAGGGAGAGGGAGAAGCAGACTCCCTGCTGAGCAGGGAGCCCAACCCAGGGCTCCATGCCAGGATCCCCAGATCACGACCTGAGCTGAATGCAGATGTTTAACCGACCCAGGCACTCCTAGTGACCCACATTAATGGGGACTCTACTACGTATAACTCATTCCTGCTGAGATGGTTCCAGCCATCCTCATCACTACTCCAGCCCCCAAGAGGAGAAAAAGAGTGTGAAGGAGACTCATGGAGGAGTTATGGACTAGGCCTGCTGGTCCTGATGCTGGCACACATCACTTCCTCTCACACTCCATTGGAGGTGACTGAGTCCCGTATCACCTCTTACTGCAAGGGACACTGAGCATATGACAGCTCAGATATTGTAAGAGAAGTGGATAAAGAATTTTGGTGGGGGTGCCTGGGTGGCTCAGTTGGTTCGGCAACTGCCTTCAGCTCGGGTCATGATCCCAGAGTCCCGGGGTCGAGTCCCCTATCAGGCTCCCTGCTCAGCAGGGAGTCTGCTTCTCCCTCTGACCCTCTTCCCTCTTGTGCTCTCTGTCTCTCATTCTCTCTCTCTCAAATAAATAAATAAATAATCTAAAAAAAAAAGAATTTTGGTGGACAGTTAGTCTTTAAAAAGAAAAAAAACCAAAATCCCTGGGGGAATATACACCTAACTAAAATATTAATTATCTCCAGAGGTAAGATTATAGGAAACTCTCACTTTTTATGTATAATTTTGAAGTGCTTGCATTTTTTATAATAAACATATGTTACTATTATAATCAGAAACTATAAAGTAAAACCAGGGTAGAGGGAATGCAATAAAATGTTTGCATAAAAGCTGAAATCAAAAAACAAAAAAAACGTACAAAAAACACTAAACTCCTTGTTATTATTTTTTATTTTTTTAAGATTTTATTTATTTAGGGTGCCTGGGTGGCTCAGTCGTTAAGCTTCTGCCTTCAGCTCAGGTCATGATTCCAGGGTCCTGGGGTCGAGCCCCACATCAGGCTCCCTGCTTGGTGGGAAGCCTGCTTCTCTGTCTCCCACTCCCCCTGCTTGTGTTCCCTCTCTCTCTGTGTCTCTCTCCGTCAAATAAATAAATAAAATCTTTAAAAAAAAAGAGTTCCATGCTCCACCCACTGAGCCTGCCAGGCACCCCAAGTATGTATTACTTCTATGAGGAGAAAAGAAACCTTTTTTTAAAAAAGCACCAGGTGCAAATAAATAAATAGCACCAGATGCATGTTCTACTTAAATGTAAATAAGCAGCATCACAATCATTGCTCTTACCTCTCTGTAGGGTGTGGTTTTTACATTTAAGCTTATTATAATACTTTAATATATTTTCATAATTAGATATTTTTATATATTGTTTCTTTACACACACACACACAAACACTGGGGTTTGGGCAGGAGTAGGGAGCAATGAGTTCTGGCAGATG